TTACCCCTTTCCTAATTTACCATGTCTGCAAAGGGCAAACTGGTGATATGCGACTTCTCTGAAACTCTGCATACAGAATGGTCAAAAGCTGATCTCTTTAGCCTGAATATCGCTTCAGCTTTTATACGTACTTCTAATATGCCTAGAAGAGGTAAATAGTTGAAAATATCCTATATATGATGTCAAGAAAGTCCCTCTTTTGCAACACAAACCTTCGTGCTCGTCTGGCACTGGTCTGCAAACCCCACATCTGCAGCACTGGGGAGTGTTTTGAGGTGGGTGAGGTTCTTCTGGTACCTCATCAGTAGAATTTCGCGCAAAATCGAGGTTATCTCTTCCCTTGCTTAGTAACGTGAGTAATAGCCTTTTTTTCGAAACTGGAAACATAAGCCTTAAAAAATGCAATTCTCAGGGAGGTAGTTATTTCATAACAAAAAATACGGACTTCGGTCGTCAGAAAATTTAAAATGATATTGACGAAAGTGTTTATGTCTCAACTAAACTAATAATACAGAGGGAGAAAAAGGGAAGTGTAAAACGAAAGTGTTAATGGTTGAACCGAAGAAAAAATTAAATAAGGAGAAGACGAGAAAAGGAAACGACCGGGAAATTTTAAGAACCAGTAAAATGCTAAAAAATTGACATCATGGCTATGAGAATAACACAGTGCGCGTAAAAGGTTATTTTTACGTTTCTCTTAATTTAACGGGCATTTTGTAATTACCTAATTTGTCTGAATTTCGTGACACAGCTCCTTTAATAAAGCTTTTTTCTAATTATGTTTGACAATGATGGTTAGCTGGTGTTGCGTTACGAAAAATATAGAGATGTCTTTGTTATTTTTATTGTTTGTTGGAGCTATTCCCCTCCTTTGAATTTTATCTCCGATAGACGTCACTTTGTACTTTAACTGTCTCGGTTAAGTAAAAGCATGTGCGTTCACCGTACGTTTGATGTACTGCATCGATGAATTTTTGAACTGGCAATATGAACACCGCGATCACAAACAAGCAACGAAGAGAAATCTCGCACCTAGAATATGTATTTATTTCAAGACAAGTACGTGGAAATCGCTTGTGAATCCATAGAGAGCTTTATCAACGCACGTTAAAACAGGACGTACTGAAGCAAAGACCTTCCTCGCTAGCTTCTAAGAACATTTGCGTGGACTGCCTTGCCTATAGTCGGCGGCCAAAACACTCTCTTTGACTTTAACAAGAGATATATTTGGAATGGTAAAATTAAAATCGTAAATAGATCGACACAGCGAAGGTACAGAAAGTTTTATCGGCAAAACAAGTCGCTTTCCACCGTTGTTCAACTGTCACGTCCCTGTTGAACTGATAGTATCAAGTGCCTTCGGAAGCTTGAAAAATATAGTATGAAGCGATGCATCATGGGATATGTGAAATTCCCCCCTTTGTGCGCGTATTAACTGAGAGATATAATAATGTCTTTTCTGCTTTTAACTTTGTCCTAGCCTTCGAGCAAGTTCTCCGGGGCGCTCTGGTGGCGGGGCGGGAGAAGGAAGGAGACCTTGCAACTACGTCTCTGGACTTTGAATATCCACATGCGAAATGCTGATTGGAGGAGATTTCATTAGTAATGACGTCATAGCCCTTGGCACATGTTTTCAATGCTTGTTTACATTATCGCTCGTTTCCGCTTCGCGCTGATGGGCGGAAATCTGACAGTTCAGTCGACGGGGAGCCACAGGGGAATCGTAGATGGGATTAAAATTCCAGGGATGTAGTTGCAAGCTCTCCTTCCTTTTCCCGCCCCGCCGCCAGAGCGTCCCGGAGAGCTTGCTTGCAGGCTAACTTTGTCCTAAATGATATTACTTACTACGTAATATTTAGGACAACGCCACTACGGAAAGGACATTAACACCATTCAGGCCGGGGTGCGCTTTTGGTGCCCCACGCTCGCGAAAAAGTTGAATAACTTCAAAACCGTTGACGCTTATGACCAGGAAGCCAAAAAAAAGGCCGGGTCTGAATAGGGTTAACACAAGTATAGTGAAGAAAATTAAATATTGTTTTTAGTTACTGACCTTAACTTCTATGTATGTTTTCTTTGCTTTTATGAGGTTATTTTGTCCTCTTTTGCTCTTTTTTTGCTTCAGGATACTTTCGTGCATTTTCTTCCGAACAAGGTATTGAACCACTAGGAAATAAAATTTTAAAAGCCTTGCCCTGCTAGATTATGCCTCTTATTAATAAACATGACATCTTCCAAATTTTTCACAATTCATTTTTTTTAAAATCTCTGTTATCATGTGATTTCCTCAGCACCTACTTATTTGCCGGTGTGTTGCAAAATGCAACGTTTTGGGAGATAAATAAAGCTTCAGAGCCATGGCCACATGGTTGAATTATTATTATTTTTATTACATCCACTTTGAAATCACTGGCTATCCGTGCAATCTGGTTGGCTCTCAGCAGTGTGATTTATTTCTAAATCGCACCATTTTTTGCTCTAAATCACATCTGTTCCAAATGGCGTCATTCATGTTCTAAATCGCATCATTTCCTTTTTAAATCGCACCATTTTTGTTCTATATCGCATCATTTCTGTTTTGAATACAAAATGAGATTTAAAAGCCTTTTTGTTTCGGCTTTTTAACAAACCGGCTACTCGATCAATAAAATATTAGTACTGGATAAATTGTGCGATTTCAAAATGGATGGAATAAAGTGGTAATTGAACTTCGTGTCGTGCAATTTTGGTTTGAAATCATACTTGTGATTTGAAATCGAACTCGCGCTGTGCGCTCGTTCGATTTTGAAATCACGCGTATGATTTCAGACCAAATTGCACTCCACTCAGTTCAATTACCATTATTAATCATTTTAATCAACAAGCATACCAGTCCCCACCCCTTTTAACATTGAAATCAACCCTTTTTGGTATTTTTGGCAACTTTATGCAGCTTTGACCAACGCAAGTTTGCAAAGTCTCTGAAGTTGTGCTTCTAAGATGGCTTGTTACAGTTTTCAGAAAATAAAGATAACCATTTTGAAAAAAAATACAATTTACAAGCAACAGGAGGTTTCCATTAGGGTATTGCTACTATCACCTTTTGTATTATGTTATCGCTGTAAAGAAGCTAGACCTTTTTAGGACTTTTTTTCTCTGAAAAACATCACCTTAACATTTCAGGATTTGGAAAGTAGCTTTATAAGAATGAGTGACTGGTATCGACCAGTCGAAATATCGTAACTCAAGTCTTTTTACGTTTAGTAAGAAGAGACCTTAATATTTGGGTAAAAGGAAAGTACCTTGGTGGAGGAAACTTTGGAAAGGTAATATACATGTATATAATTTTAAAGGTATATTTTAGAATACACTGAGTTGAATTACGGGTGTACTTTTTTATGTGTTTCCCATTTTTGGGGTGGGAGGGATTAGAGTGGACGCTGACTTAAAAATGTAATAGTCAACCCATTGTGTAGGGCAACCATACTCTCTTCAAACATTCTTTGTAAAGTCCATAAATGAATACCTTTTTTCCTAACGTTTTTGATACACATACATGTCTGTGTTGACTTAAACTGAGACGACAGTGATGTTCCAGAGGACAGGTTCTGCCCGGTTCTAATAGACTGCAGTACAAGCCGGAAATATCGTATTGAAAATATTGCGGTGAAAATAAGTAGATCATATGGGATTATTGCGAAACTTAAGTATATTGTGCCACCAAATACTCTACTGTGCATCTATAAAATAAAAGCGTTAATTTTATCCTATATATCTTATTGTCTTATTGACTAACAGCATGGGGTCTTGCGAGTAAACTCTATCTGACGAAAATTTAAATCCTCCAACTGACGAGCACTAAGATTTATATTTTCCGTAGAGAGATATGAACGTACTGTCCCTCTGTTTACTGATGCTGATATTCTACCACTTATTTTGTTTAATGCATGATACTACGAAATCAAAAGGTACCAAGGAACATTTTGAACCTATATTCAGCCATACTACCAGTTTTTATAATTATAACACTCGGTATTCCTCGTCAAATAACTTTTATGTTAAGAAATCTTGCCTATAAGTCCAAAAGAGAGCTTTTTCAAGAGTAGGAGCTAAAATTTGCAATGAGATACCAGTATCTTTAAGAGAATCCCCCCACTTCAAAACGAAACTCCGCTCTTTCGTTGTTGATATCTAAAGAATCATGATGACTATATTGACATTTCCCAAATTACTTCAACTCTAAAATGATACAAATTAAAGTTGCTTGATTCGAATTTATTTAATGAAACTGATGATAACGAACTTGTAATTATGTCAAATGTAAATTACCAACACTTGGTGTAAGTGAATATGTTAAATGTAACTCTCCTTTTTGTAAACTTAGTAAATATTAATTATCTCATTGTAATGCTTTAGTATCACTGTTCCGCCTAGAATAGCAAATGCTACCTGCGGACAAGTATCCTAGTATCTTGTTTTCGCAAATATTTTTATAAGTTGAGCTACGAGTCTGTCGGTAGAATAAACAATAATTCCTTTGATAGTCCTCACGACAGTGTTCTTCTGAAAATCCTGTGAAAAACCCTGTTTTCCCTATGTTTGTTTTCTAAGCCGGCCATCCTTCCATCCATCCACCCATCCATCCAACCAATTACCAACAATCCAACGATCCATCCATCCATCGCTCCCTTCCTCCCAGAAAAATTGTTTGACGTTTCTGGAAATTTTATTTGTTAATCTGCTCCCCATTTCAGTGAATAGTGCACATATATCTTTCTCTTGGATACCCCATAGGTGTTCAGGTTGACCCACCGTGAGTCTGGAATCAAGGTGGCAATGAAAGAAGTTAAAATGGAGCCTCAGTATTCAGAATTGCCAGAGGTTAGTCATTTCACAAAGATTACGATTCGTTATTATTATGAGGTATTATACTTGGCAGCAAAAATGTCTCCTCTTAAAATTGCTTCGAAGTACAGTTATGGTATTGTGTTATGCTCTTATGGTTATTATGGAACATAGTA